CACTTTTAATCCAGCTGTGAGGATCTGGAATCTAGAGAATATAGCTTCTATAGATTCAGATTCTTCCATTTTAAAGGCTCCATACTTCTGGATCAGCGCCAGAGCCTTAGTCTCTTTAACTTGTGAGTTCCCTTCATGTGTCATCTTCAAAGACTCAAACAAATCAAATGCAGTTTCTCTGTTGGTAATCTTCTCATACTCAGTATGAAATATAGCATTTAATAAGATTGTTCTAGCTTTGTGATGATTTCTGAACTCCTTCTTCTGGGCTTCAGTCATAGATTTTCTAACAATTTTCTTTCCATCCCCATCAGTGGGGTGAACATAACCATCAATGACTAAGTCCCATAGATCAACATCATAACCAAGGAAGAAACTATCTATTCTGTCCTTCCAATAGTCAAACTTCTCCCCATCAAACATATGGGGTTTTATGCTGATTCTATCCCTTTCTTCATATCTGTTGTTGCTGTTGGATATTGAAGCTTCAGCCATAATATCAACCAAAGAATATCAAGAGTTTTTCTCACTGGATTTATTCTGTTCACGGTAAAGTGATAGCACACACAGAACCGGAGCTCTGATGCCAACTGAAGGTGAGAAAATACTTAGAAGGGGGGGGGGGGGGGGTTGAATAAGGATTTAGAAAATATTATGGCAATAAAGACACAAAGATTTTTATCCTGGTTCGTTGAATTCAACTACTCCAGTCCACCCTATCAAGAGTGATTCACCTTTCTCCACAAGGACTTAATCCACTATAATCAAACTGATTACAATAACAACTACTAAGAACAACTGTTCTTAGTCTTCTCAAGAACTACTGACCACAACTTGGTCTTCTCAAGGAACTTTTACAATCAAATGTAAACTTAAAACAAGTGTTTGAAATGCTTCTAAGAAAGCTATATCACAACTGTGATTTACACTTAAGTTTAAGAACGTATGAAAACTATTTAGCAAAGAATAATAATTTGTATGAGAGCTTTGAGAGAGTTTTCAATGAATTGTTCAATTTTTGTCAATGTTCGTCAACTAAAGAAAGTTGTTGAAGGCTTGCTTATATAGACTTAGAATTCCAAGACGTTGCAAGCTTGAAGACCGTGTACTGCATAGTAGCTGTAACCTTTGTCTTCACATCACTTGACCTTTCCTAGAAGTAGAACGTTCAGAGAAATCCTTTTTGCCTGAGTTCTTGTGTCTAGCATGAAAGAGGAAAGAGTCGTTTGGCATAACCAACAAATATAACTTTGAATAATCTTCTTCAACAAGTTTCTAATTCACAACAATTAACATCAGAGCCTTGAATGATCAGAGTCTTGATGTCTTCAGAGCTTGCTGTATCAGAGTATAGCAGCAAGTGTGCTTCAGCGTGTAATTAATCAGAGTAGAGTTTGGAGATCAGATCCTCAGTACATGCAGCGAACAGTACTATCAGAGTCTTCTGAAAAACAGTGCTTGAAACTCTTCATACAAAAACTTCAGTCTACGCTTCAGATGCTTCTGTAGCTTCTGCTTCAGATCCTTCTGTAGGCAGCGCTCAGAGTCTTCTGAGAGATGCTTCTGACGCTTCAGAGCCTTGCGTAGTTCAACGTTCAGATTCATTTTTGCTTTTAGAAGAATATTAAATTTAATATCTGCAGCAAAAATACTTGAACAAACTTAGAGTATATAATTTCTTAATACAAAATTTCATAAGTATTATCATCAAAACATAGAGATATAACTAAGAACCAATCTGTGTTCTAACATAACTAATCAATATCATACATGTCTTTTATTCAGCCTGACTTAGTTTCTAGTTTTGCACATTAAGATTTTAAGAACCATGTCTCCCGTGTTTGTGTGAATGAGCTTTAAGGTTTGTTTGGATTGATTGAAATTGAGAGAACGAAATGGTGTTATATTTCATTGTTCGGTTCTAAAAAACTTAATGAAATGGAATGTGTTGTTAGTAAGTAAATAATATATATATATATATATATATATAAATAGTTTCCTAATAAATAGTAATTAGGAAACTATTTATGTTTTTTCTTTTGAAGACTATTAGGAAAGTTTTGAACTTGCATTGTTAACTGAACACCTGTCATAGCTTGGCTTGAAGCTTGTAAATTAGGTACCATTTATATGCTTCTTCTTTTGTATTTGTGTTTTGAAGATTCAAAACAGTATAAAAGTATTTATACAAACTAGTTTTATAAACAAGCTGCATTACTTTTACACAACAAACTGCATACTTGTTCATTTAAAAAAAAGTAAATCTTAATATTTAATGATCTATTGAATACTTTAAAAAAACATTACAATTGGTAGCTGGTGACATCAAATGAGTATTAACTGAGAGGTTAAGGGTTACCAACATAACTTACTAACATTATATCTATTAAAAAAATTATTTACACTCTCTCGACACGAACTCTGAATTATTAGGGTCTATTTCTCCGACTAGAGTGCGAAAAGAAAAAATAAATATTTCCACCCTCTAAATGAGCCAACGACCATTTTGATTTTAGAGTAGTCAATTGCGGCGCAATCATTCAATAGCGGGTAACGGTGGAGAACACTACAAACCATTGTTAGATTTCAGATTGAAATGGAATGGAATTGTTAAGCCATTGTGAGAGTTAAGAAGCCTTTTTGTTTGCTCAAAGAGAAAGCACACTAGTTGCTGTAGAGAGCAGTAGGTAAATGCTCCTTGTTGCAGAAGCACCATTGCCTCTTTTGAAAAAGTTTTGTCTCCTTCATCTTTTCATTTTTGTTTTCTTCCTGTTTCTCTCCTTTTCTTTTTTCCCTCATATTTATCTTTTGTTTTGCTTTTTGTTCTAGCAATGAATATCATAGATATGAACATAAGCTTTTTTTTCGTATCAATTATGCGTGCTGAAGGTTTATTAAGTACTTTTACTTTGCATTATCAGAATCACAATTCATTTTTTTAATAAATAATTGTTTATTACTCTTAAACTATTTTTTTTTTACATGGAAACGAATCTAAATCCTTATTTTTAAAATAAACCTAAAAATTATGCACATTGCTTGATCATGTTTGCTGATGATGAAAGTGAATATAAGTGATTTTCCAAGACTCACAATCTGTTTTAAAAACTAACAAATCTTTAATTAGCATGATTAATCACGTATACTTTGAATCTGTTTTAAAAACTAACAAATTCAAATATTTTTATTGATTGTAGGATTATGATTTATTAGTAGTATAGAAATTTTTTTCACTATTCACAAACTAAATTTATATGTTAAAGAATAACATAATATTCCTTTATATTTGAAACAAGTTAAAGTGACATTTCATCTTAAAGAAAACGATAATGTATTTATTTTAAAATGGCAAAAAGAAATGAACCCGATTCTTTCCGCATAATATAATAGGACTTTTATCAAAACCAAACAAAAACGAAATTCTATTTTTTATTTATATATTTATAAAAGAGTATCTTATTAGATTAAAAGTCCAATTGATTAAGTATAGGTTAGAAAATATTACAGCACAACTTAAAAGCCAAACAAGTATATATTTGATTATGTGGGAAAAATAATTTTTGAGTGAGTTGGTTAAGAATGAGTCGAATATAAATTGATTTATTTAAGTTTATGTTTGACTTTTTTTTAAAACCATGATGTTATCGCACGTCTCATAAAAAATTATTATTGTAACTTTTGAAAATTATGTTAGAACTTGATTCATTTATTGAATAATAAATTTTAGTATAAAAATCACATTTAAATTCAAAAATTATAAATTATAGTTTTAAATAAAATCAAATTTGAAAATATAATCAGTTATATTTTAGAAAAACAAAACACCTCAAAATTATTTCAGAATTAATTCTACACTTCTAAAATTGTTTTTGCTTAGTTTTGTTAGATATACTATGTAAAAACAATTAATTTAAAGTATAAATTTAATAAATAAAAAAATACAATAACAACAATCAAACCTTATCCTATTATGTTTAAGTGATTAAAGGATCAGAGTGGGAGCAAATACATAAATTAGGTGTGGGGAATGAATACCTGACCCTATAGTGAAAGAAGATATTTATAGTGAGACCTCAACGCAGGGCCAACGGTCACTTGCATTGGGGCAGATTGCTAGACCCAACCCAAGTGACTGCTAGGGCTTACGTGGCGTAGTGAAGACCAGACGTGGTCTTCGCCCTAGATCAACTCTCCCATGATCTTCGGAAGGTGGGCTGACCAACTCTTTCGGAGGTGGTTAGTTGCCTGATGACGTGTCCCTGCATGGGGGAGCACGTGGAAAACGTGTGGAATACGTGTGATTCTGCCCGGCAGGGGAAGTGTCTGCTCGACATATCTAGAATCGTGTCCGACATGAGAGATTTGGGCCTTATTGGATCTTCCTCACATAATGTTGGAATGGGCCATTCTGACGGATTGACAGGTCTGAGTCCACTCCAGAATAATTTTATAATTAATCTATATCAAAAAGATCTAACATAATTAGTTTTTTCTTTTATCCAAAATTTCCAAATTTAGAACCGGTCATATGGGTAACAAAATTAAATTCAATCATACAATTAAATTATTGGAGTAGTTCCAAAAGTTTCCATCTCAATGATGTTATACTTATTATAATAGTTTATTTTCTTTTTCCATATTAAAATTTTCCGTTAGTTATTTTTCCATATATTAAATTATTCATCATTTTGTATTCTCAATAAATTATTATATTAAAAATAACATTTTATTATTAATATCAACTATATTTTAAAGAATGAATGAGAACACAAGACAATTTTATTTGAGAGAGAGAGGGAAGAATTCACGTTGAGCACGTTGAGCTCAATTTTGATTAAAAAAAAATATATGACATAACAGTGCTGTTGTATACTTTATACTTTTCATCTATAAATACCTTATCTTCCTATTAAACAAATCACACACCAATCTTCTTTCTCCACCACACTATATCAAAAATCCTCTATTATTTCTTTAATATATCAAAACAGTGAGCAAAAATGTTTAACATCTTGAACACTAACAGGAGCCAGAAAATCAAGGGAACTGTGGTGTTGATGCCCAAAAATGTTTTGGACTTCAACGCCATCACTTCCATCCCTAAAGGCAGTGTTCTTGACGCCCCGGGAAAAATCATCGGCGGCGTCACCGGCATTGTCGGCGGAGTTGTTGACACTGCCACTGCCTTCTTAGGCCGTAATGTCTCTATGCAGTTGATCAGTGCCACTAAAACTGATGGTTTGTTAAAAACTTCAACTATTCAACTCATTCTTCATCTTTAATGTGTTTTTTTCCACTACTTTAGAGGCTGAGTTGAAGAAATTTGATGTTATAAGTTCCAATTTTCAGACTGCATCTGATTTGATGTTATAATTCATCTTTAGTGTTAAAAATGACAAATATATATAATATTTAGTATATTACATTAAACTAAAAAAATGACAATTACATAATAATAATAATAATAATAATAATAATAATAATATATATATTATTTACATACAAGTGTCATATTGATTATATTTCATTTTTTGGAATTTTTTTGTGTGATTTAAATTTGTAGCTGGTGGAAAAGGCCAAGTTGGACACGAAGCGTTTTTAAGCAGTCATCTTCCTCGATTACCAACATTGGGAGCAAGACAAGATGCATTCAGTATTTATTTTGAATATGATGCTAATTTTGGAATCCCTGGAGCTTTTTACATAAGAAACTATACTTCAGCTGAGTTCTTTCTCGTCAGTGTGACTCTTGAAGATATTCCTAACCGTGGATCTGTTCAGTTTGTTTGTAACTCATGGATTTACAATTTCAGAAGTTACCAAAAGGACAGGATCTTCTTCACCAATGATGTTAGCTTTTTGAATCTAAATTAAGAGTTAAATATGTGATTGAAATTTGAATAGTTTAAAAAAGTGTTAAATTGTTATTATTATTACAGACGTATCTTCCAAGTCAAACACCAGCTGCATTGAATCACTTTAGAAAAGAAGAGTTGTTGAATCTAAGAGGAGATGGAACCGGTGAACGTAAGGTGTATGATAGGATATATGATTATGATGTTTATAATGATCTTGGAAATCCTGATTACGGCGACAAATTTGTTCGTCCGGTGCTCGGAGGGTCTAGCACCCATCCTTACCCTCGTAGGGTTAGGAGCGGTAGAAAATCAACCCGAAAAGGTTAGTTTTATATTTTGAGATTCATTGAATAAGTAATGTATTTGATAATTGGTATATACCAAATGTATTTATTTATATTCATGTGTCTGACATATTGATGGTTTTGGTGTTCTGATTTTTTTATGGTATTTGATTCTTGACAGACCCTAAGAGCGAAAGACAGGGTGAGATTTATGTTCCGAGAGATGAAAACTTTGGTCACTTGAAGTCATCGGACTTTCTTATGTATGGAATAAAGTCGATTTCCCAAACTGTCATGCCTTTGCTTAAATCTGTGATTTGTGACGAGTTCAGTAGCTTCGATGATGTTCGTGGACTTTACGAAGGTGGGATTAAGCTTCCTACTGATATACTCAGCCAAATTGCCCCCTTACCAGCTCTTAAGGAAATCTTGCGCACCGATGGTGAACAAGCCCTCAAGTTTCCGCCACCTCAAGTAATCAAAGGTACATTGTTCATCATAATCGCACTACCAATAGATAAAATGTTCCTCACATTCGTATATTAGTATCGTGTTAAGCAACATTAGTAATTGTTTTTTGAACAGTTAGCAAATCTGCATGGATGACTGATGAAGAATTTGGGAGAGAGATGGTTGCTGGTGTAAACCCTTGCGTGATTCGTCTTCTTCAAGTAAGAACCAAATGAATTCTTAATATTAGCCAAGATATCTATCTATTTTGTCGTCAATCACCACATATTTATATATTTCATTGTGTCGAATTATTGTTTGATATCGCAGGAGTTCCCTCTGAAAAGTACTCTTGATACTGTCGTGTACGGGGATCAGTCTAGTACAATAACAAAAGAACAGTTAGAGACGAACCTCGGCGAGCTCACAGTAGAACAGGCACTTAATGGAAAGAGATTATTCGTCTTAGATTACCATGACGCGTTCATGCCGTTTCTAGAGAGGATAAACATAAGAGCAAAGGCTTACGCCACTAGGACAATCTTGTTCTTGAAAGATGATGGAACTTTGAAGCCAATAGCCATTGAATTGAGTCTGCCACACTCAAATGGGGTTCAATATGGTGCTGAAAGCAAAGTAATCTTGCCTGCAGAAGATGGCAGTGTCGAAAGTACAATTTGGCTATTGGCCAAGGCTCATGTGATTGTAAATGACTCATGCTACCATCAACTCATGAGCCATTGGTATGAAATTGAACTCTGCTAAGTCATGTATGCAATGTATGACATGATTATTAACACACAAAAATTCGGTGTTGCAGGTTGAATACTCATGCGGTGATTGAACCATTCATCATAGCAACAAACAGGCATCTAAGTGTGCTTCACCCGATTAATAAGCTTTTATATCCTCACTTTCGTGACACGATAAATATCAATGGACTTGCTCGTCAAGCTCTAATCAATGCCGATGGCATTATAGAGCAAACATTTCTGCCCGGACCAAATTCCGTTGAGATTTCTTCAACCGTTTACAAGAATTGGGTTTTCACTGATCAGGCATTACCTGCTGATCTTATCAAGAGGTAATTTTCCATGTAAATATTGGAAACAATAATCTAGTCAAATTTTCTTGTCATTTTGAATGTCATTCTTGCCATATCTAATACAAATTGTTTGCTTGATTCAGAGGATTAGCTGTCGAGGATCCTTCATCCCCCCACGGACTTCGTCTTGCCATAGAAGACTACCCTTATGCTGTTGATGGGCTAGAAATATGGGATGCTATCAAGGCATGGGTCCAAGAGTACGTCTCGTTATATTATCCAACTGATGAAGCAGTGCAAAAGGACACTGAAATACAACCTTGGTGGAAGGAAGCCGTAGAAAAGGGTCACGGTGACTTGAAAGACAAGCCATGGTGGCCTAAGATGCAAACTATTCAAGACTTAGTTCAATCTTGCTCCATTATCATATGGACTGCTTCTGCTCTTCACGCAGCTGTTAACTTCGGACAATATCCTTACGGAGGATACATCCTTAACCGTCCAACTCATAGCAGAAGATTCATCCCAGAGAAAGGAACTCCAGAATACGACGAGATGGAGAAAAGTCCTCAAAAGGCGTATTTAAAAACAATTACATCAAAATACCAGACTCTTATTGATCTCTCCGTGATTGAGATATTGTCAAGACATGCTTCTGACGAGGTGTACCTCGGCGAGAGGGATAGCAAGTATTGGACATCTGATTCGAGGGCAGTACAAGCCTTCACAAAGTTTGGAACCAAACTAGCTGAAATTGAAGGGAAAATCCATAGCAGGAACAACAATTCTAGTTTGAAAAACCGCTACGGACCAGTGCAATTGCCCTACAGTTTGCTCGTTCGATCAAGTGAAGAAGGTTTAACTTTCAAAGGAATTCCCAACAGTATCTCTATTTGAAAACTTGTGTGGTTTTCTTATCTTTTATGAGTTTGTGCTTTCCAATACCATTGATGTGATGAATGTATGTTTATGATTATTGTCTGTGTACTACTACCACTACTGTATCTGTGTGCTCTTGTTGAAATATAATAATGTTTGTGAACTTTGCACTATGTTTTGCTCTTTCTTCTTTCAACTACAATTGCATTTGTTATTTTGCATAGAATCCCCAGTTTCTGAATTTATAAAATCAATTTAACACAAAGCAATTGATGACTATGATGCTTATACCTTTCAAATATAAAAATGTTAATATGACAAATAAGTATAAAGTATTTTGCATCATGTTTTCAAATTAAAAACTTATGTGAATAGTAACTAAATAGTAACTAAAATTTTCATTATATAAGTATCGCCTAATAAAAAATTTAAGTACTAGTTAAGAAGTATAATTTGACCTTTTTTTAAATAACTAGTTACAAACACAAGTCATATAGAAATTGAAAATTTACCAAATAGGAAAATAATTTTCGAACACTAATTGTATCTCTCACATCTTTAATTTTTTTATTTAGTCAAATTTAGTTACATATAAGTGGATTTGACTTATATTGTTTGATGAACAAAGTCTTTTTTTTTTTCAATTTGTTTATGAATAATAATTCAATCATCACTATTTTTTTCAAAGAAAAAAAAACTGAACGAGTACAACAGAAACGGAGTACACATGCAATTTGTCAATGAGCGTTCGAATTATTTACATGCCGACGAAGCCTCTAAGTAAAAAATATTTGTACTGATTTTGACAGAATCTTTTTGACTATGGTTCAACACTCTGTCTGACAGGAGCATAGAGTCATGAACCGATCTATGTGAGACATTCGCAGCTCACTTCACAGTCCATAAAAAGAAGCTAGTGATAGTAGATGCCTTAAGCGGGATAAAGCAGGGAAAGGGGAGTTTACGATCTTACATCGACCATTTCACGCAAGTGGTCCTAGAAGTACAAGGGATAAAGGAAGGTCTCAAATGCCGGATATTCGAGAATGACATGCTGCAGGATAGCCTCTTCAGGTAGAAGTTGTGAAGAAGGAAAACAATATTGTGAAGGAACTGCTGAACATTGTTGAATCTTTCATAACTTGGAGGAGAAGCTTAATACCCGATTCGACAACTCGATTGTTGTTGACTCCAATTTCGTCAGTCCAACCAAGAAATACTCTCACTAGAGAAAAGATGAATTTGATCGTGGAACGCATGAATGGTACAATAAATACACTCCTTCGAATGCATCGCGGGAGAAGATTTATCAGGATTGTGCTAACAAGAAATTCCGAAAGGGAGGATTCAGAAACCCCTTTCCCATTAGAGAGCCATCTCGGATAGACAAGACAAAATACTACCGCTTTCACAAGGGCCACAACCAGAACACGAAGACAGCATCCAAATGAAAGATGCCATCGAAAGATTGATAAAAAGAGACCGATTGTCTTAATATGTAAATGGTGCTAAAAGAGATATAGAGAAAAGAATCACCCAAGGGCAAGTCCCCCTCGAAAGCTATGGATGTTGTGACCAGTGGAGGAGGGACTAGTGGCAAGGATAAGGAAGCTAACAAGGGGAAACACTAATATATTATCTATATCACCAAAGGAACACCCCGTGCAAATATCCCATTCAAGGGGACGATGAAGAGAAAAACCGTTGAAATATTGGTCGTCCATAAGAATGATGAATGTGTGAAGAAGATATTCATCATCTATATTGGTTTGGTTTTTATGATGACAAAAGCTTATCAAAGAAGATAAGGAATAAAAGTTGGATGACAATGGATTATCAATTATGAACATAACAAAGTAAAAAACCAAGTAAGTTATCATGATTAAAGGTGCATTACAATTCACATTATATCACACGAATTCCTTAGAAATATGTATCAAACTTAATCTATAATCTTCCTAAACATATTGCGTTCAAATGCATGAAGCCATTAATTAAAAATTCATATTTTAGCCAAATTGCTAATGGTATTCGAATACCATATACTGGTATTAGATTATTGATCAAATAGAAGCAAAATTGACTTAATGGTATTCAAATACCATATATGATATCCAAATACCAGTTAAAAAAATTGTTTATTTTTTACTTTTAAAAGAGTGGTATTTGAATACCATTTATGGTATTCGAATACCAGATGAACAAAATTCAAATTTCTTGGTATTTGAATATCATATATGGTATTCGAATACCAATTTTTGAATTTTGAATTTTAAATGTTTTTGAAGTGGTATTCGATTACCACATATTGATTTTCGAATACCAACCTAAAGCAATGTATTTTTTCATTTTCAAAATGTTTCTAATACATTACAATACTTCGTGGAATGTTTTTCAAACTTGTATATCTTTTTATAACAATGCTTTATGAATTAATTTTTAAACTTATGCCTCCTTTAATAACACTGGTTCATGATGTATATAAGATGTACACTTAAAAATAATTCAAATTCACCTCTTTCATAAATCTTTTCATACATTCAAACATATTTTTCTAAGTGTTAAAAAATATCAAGTCATGAAACTTTGTGCATAACTTTTAAATCATTCAAAAGTTTCATACAATGTTCTGAGCACTTAATGTACATTAGTTTGGATTGTAATTTTGAGAAAGATAAGAACAAATTTTCATACTTGGAATCAAGTCAAAATTAACTTTATTCAAGACCATTTAAAGTGTATGTGTTGTAACTTAATCACCAAATTTGTGGTGATAAGTTGTTTGTTGTAAAAGGTTCTTTGAGATGATGCAATTCAAAGTCCACCATAATGTTAAGTATTTATGGAAAAGATTCTTTGATATGGAGAGATTCAAAATCCACCATAATTTTAGTGTTTATGTTAGAATATTGTAGGAGAAGTCTTGGTGTGAGGATTTGTACAAAGATCTAACATAATAAAAATTTCTTTAAGGTATGATTGGAATATATGTACTCTTGGTTTATAAGGAGAACTAGAATATATTCTTATGTCTTTTACTTTCTTGTACTTTATTTTTTCTACACTTTTATTCAAAGTCCATTACACTTAATTTAAAAAAAGAAGAAGGAAGAATCATGACTTAAAACAAGAAAATCCAGAAAACCTAGTTCACCCCTCTTAGGTTGCACTCTCATAATTACAGAATGCACATCAACCAAAACTTCTGATGATCGCAACTAATTCCATGTCATGCGTCAATTAACTCCCCTTTTCTAAACGTCATATAAGACTTCATACTTTTGGGCAGGTTCAGGAAATTAGAACGAAAGCGATTATCAACTTTTATTTTGACTTCTTGAAACTTCGCATGCACTCTGAATTCCAACAGAATGGAACTTCCTTGCGAGTGAGTCTAGAAAAAGGCAATGGTAATTGAGAAAATCCCATGATGAACCTTTGATAATAACCAATTGATCCCAAAAAACTTCTAACTTCCGAGGCATTTCCTAATTTATCACTGGTTCCACTTTTGAAGGGTCTACCACGACACCTCTTTGAGAAATCACATGCCCAAGGAATTTCACCTCCTACATCCATAACTCACACTTCATAAATTTTGCGAAGAGTTTTTCTCGCAAAACTGAAAGCACAATCCTCAAATGCTTTTCGTGCTCTTTCGGAGTACGTGAGTAAATTAAGATATCATATATGAAAATCACAAAAAAATGGTCCACGCACAGTTGGAACACTCGGTTCATGTAATCCATGAAAACATATGGATCATTGATTACTCCAAAAGGCATTACAACAAACTCATAATATCTATACCAGGTTCTGAATGCGATCTTCGGTGTGTCAGAACTCTTCACTCGGATTTGGTGGTACCTTGACCGTAGATCAATCTTCAAGAACATGTTGGCTCCTTTCGATTAATCTAGGAGTTCATTAATATGAGACAGAGGATACTTATTCTTGATAGTAACCTTATTAATTTGCCAATAATTGATGCACAATCACCTTCCACTATCATTCTTTTTTACCAACAAAATTGGAGCACCCCATAGAGGCACACCCGATCAAATGAAGTGCTTCTACAATAACTCTTTTAATTATACCTTCAATTCCTTTAATTTTACCAGCAACATTTCATACGGTGCAATGGAAACTAGTTTTGCTCCCAAAACTAAGTCTAGGGAGAATTCCATTTCTCTCTTGGGAGGTAATGAACTGGCATCCTCCAGAAACACATTAGGAAGTTCATATACTCTTAGAGCTAATAAAGTATATTTTTCTCATCTAAATTCATGCTGAGAATTAAAAGAAAAGCATTATCTTGCTCATAAAAACAATTGATCATGCTAATTATACCTTCCAAAAGTGTGGACACATCATCTGGGGTGGATGCTTCAACATGTATGAAAATGGACTTCTCTTTACAACTAACATACACTAAACTGGAAGAGAGACAATCCATTCTCAACACTACATCCATTATTTTGAAAGGTAGGCATATCACGTCAATCAAGAAGATACGGTCATTCATCTAGATTGGGCAATTCTCACACACCCGTTGAGTCTCTATATTACTTTTCATAGCGGTGGTGACAATCATCGAGGATGGTAGTGGAATCCCTTCTAACCCAATAATTTTCACACACATGGTTGAAATAAAGGAGTGTAATGTTCCACAATCAAAAGAAACAAAAGAGTTTGACCATAAATACCTTGGCTTTTCTGGCGTTCAAGGTGTAAAATATACCTGCTTCAACTGGTACCGATCTTGTTACTCCTTGAGTTTTATGCCTAGGATAATCTCTCGCCATGTGACCTATTTCATGACAATGGTAACATTTCCAATCTTTGGCCTGACATCTTCCAAAATAAGGTTTCTTATAAGAATTACACTGTTGTGGTTGCACTGGCCTTGCACTCTGAATCTACTTTCACTTCGAAGGAGACCCATTTGGCTTCATTTCTTGGTTAAATCTACTATAGTATTTCTAATGCTGACTTTCTTGATTTTTTTCTAGCTGGAT